AACTGGCTGCACAACTTCGCAAGGAATTAAATGTGGAGAAGTTCAGAACAGCTATGCTGGAACGGTGAGGCAGGGGTTATCTAGCAGTGGGCATAGAAAAGAATCACCCCCCTTTTAAAATGATCACATTTTGTTGCTTTGCAGCCTGAAATGAAGACGGACACAATTTTTGTTTTATCCAGCTGTATTTACCCCGTGCGACTTATAACACCAACATGTCAGAATTTATTTATTTTTTTAAACACAATCACTGAGTTGGAAAAAGGATCACCCCCTCCTAAAAATGACTTGTAAACTCAATCAGATTTAGCTAATCACCTTCTCAATGGCACACAAAGCCATATGACTTTCAACTGTGATCAGCTGTAGTCATTTTGATTAGCTCAGCATGAAAAAGCTTTCCTGGAGCATTTCTGTCCTTGGTAGTGCAACTGAAGCAAACAATCAACTATGGGTGGCAAGGCACTGTCAAAAGATAAAGTTGGTGGACAGGCACAAGTCGGGATGGTTACAAAAAAAATTCAAAGGCCTAGAAGCACAGTGAAGTCTATTATTAAGAAGTGTAAGGTATTTGGTACAACACAGACCCTCCCTTGATCAGGACGTTGCTACAAACTGGATGAAAGAGCCAAGACGAAAATGGTCAAAGAGGCTACCAAGAGGCCTACAGCAACTCTGAAGCAGTTGCAGGAATTTATGACAAAGAGTGGTCATTGTGTGCATGTGACAACAATATCACAAATTCTCCACAAATGTGGCTGTATGGGAGGGTTGCAAGAAAAAAGCCACTCCTCAAGAAAGGCCACGTGCAGTCACAACTGAGCTTTGCCAAAACGCACCTTGAAAATTCTGAGGCAGATGAGACTAAAATTTAATTATTTGGCCTCAACACCAAACGATATGTCTGGTGGAAATCCAATACAGCTCACCATCCAAATAACAGCATTCCTACAGGAAAGCATGAGGTGGTAATATCCTGTTATGGGGGCAAATATTCCCACAAAGTGACCTAGATATGTGGGGGGGTGTTAGAACGAGCCGTTTTAGGGGGGTGTGGCAGAGTCTTAACTTTGATAAAGAATATCTCTTTGGTTTTGAGACTTCAGTCTTTGCAACTTCAGGGATCTTATCTATTCACGAACAGCTTGTAACACTCCAAAGAGAAGGGAAAACTTTAAATCGCATCATATGACCCCTTTAAAGGAGGTTATTCTATTCTATACCCAATGTACTATTCTCTAGTACTCAATTTCAGGAAGTAGCACTTGTATTATTTACCTTTTTGGATTAATCACTTCTGCTTATAGAGGTCTTAATTTTCCATGCCTTTATTTCTACTTAGAGAACTCAAGGAGGCCCGACGGGCTGCTACCTCACCCCAGCGGTCATCACAACCAGGGTCTCTTCCAAGAGCTGGGAGGAAGCTTGTGGGCAGAAGTGCAGCCCGTTCCATGAGCTTTGGTTTCCCTGGATACCAGCACTGATTCCAGCACTGAATTTGTCATGTACTGCATGTGTCAACAGACCTACATACTGAATTTATGGAATGCAATAGTCAAATGCTTTTGCATTACTCGGCGTTTGTCACTGGTGAAACTTCAGGTCCTGTTTTTGTCTTAACGCTGAACCGCACCATTTCACGTAGTTTTATTTGTGGCATGAATCGGTGCATATTTATGGTTTACTGTTGAATGGCACATTTATCTTGTCAAATAACTGGTGCATTTTAATTGTAAATAAAGTTTTTAAATGTTTAAATTAAATTTAATGCTGTTTGATTTACCAATTTAAACAATTGGATGTCAGTCAGGTAATGTGTTTTCGTATTGACAATAAGGGGTGATTCTAGCAGATTAGATTTAGCAAACTTATAGCTGGCCCCACTTCTAGGAGACTTTTGTATATTGTCTAGGACAGGGGCCTTGGAATAACTTTTTCAGTCTGAATGCTCTAGTTTATTTACTGCTCTGCCTCATATTCCACAGTGTAGGTGGTGTAATAGTTCAGCCAACTTTTCCTCGGTATTCTTTATCTAGCATGTGCAGTCTAACAGAAGGGGAACTCCATTTCCAAAAACCCCTCTGTCCTAAAGAGAAGTTAAGTTAAAAGAACGAGGGTAAAGCCGCGTGTTCACATCATAATTTGAGACTTTAACGTCTGTTTATCTCGGCCTTCTGAGTCATTCTCGGCAACTGCTACGTTTAGAAAGGTCGCACATAATTTATGCCTTTACACTATAAGTAAACCGCGAGAATAACATTATCTTCTTTTTTTTGTGGATTTCTAGCTGCTTTCGCTTTTCCTTAGTCTTTGACCACGCCTTCTGTGACGCGCAGGAAGGCGGGGGATTCTTAAGAGTCGCAGCACATTGTTTATTAGGCTACAAAGCTTCACTATTACATGATGTTTTGACTTGAAGTTTATGTAAGTAATGTTTGTTCTTTCACTGTAAAGTACAGTCGACACGTATATAGACAGGATTTTAAACATTTGCCTCAAAGGAGACTAAATAACGTTAACCGGTATTTTTGCTACTAGATCGTAGCCTAGTCGCAAGTGTTTTATCATAGTTTCTGTGGATAGTGTTACGACAGTTCGTGCTATGTCTTTAAATATAAACATTCATTCACGTGTTTACTGTTATATTTACCCAGATAGACTAAAGTTTCAGGCTTCCTTCAGTTTGACTCAAGTTTCCTGTAAGTTAACGTTAATGTTCAGAAGTGCTCTGCATCTGACTGGTATTTTTTATTTTAACTGAACGAGTAAACACTGAGCTTCATCTAGCCTAAGTGTCATGTGTGTGGTCCCTACAGATGAATTTGGACTACAGATTTTCTTTGTTTCGATCTGAGAATCATTTTTTTCTACAACTGATCTCGGTTTTGCAAAAACTGCTCTTGCTTTAAACGGTTCTTGTAAACGTCATTAAAACATGTATAAAATCAACCCCAATCCTCGATAATCATCGAATAATATTAGCTAGCCACTAATAAACAGGTAATATCATCAGCTGTTAGCTAGTTTGGGCTGGGATATTTCATGATGTTATTTAAGCCGACCGAAAAAGGTCGCACATTTATTTACGTTTAGGTTATTTAGCTATATATAGCAATCTATATAGATATATATTGTTTTTATATACAGCTGTAATACATTTATATATAATACAACAGTGGAGCATAGCGTTAGCAACGCTAATGTCATGGGTTCGATTTCCAGGGAATGCATAAACTGATCAAATTCATACCTTGAATACAGTGCAAGTTGCTTTGGATAAAAGAGTCTGCCAAATTCATAAACAAATACTACACCCTAACAGAAAACTTTATGCATGTTATGCATCAGGCCATGTATATGCTTGTAAATCATTCAAAACAGTTGCAGTGACTCATGTTTGATCTTATCTTATAATGAAACGACGTGCTTTTGCGTTTTTCTTGAATCGCAGAGCACTTGTATGAGGCATTGTACGGGTTTGTGCAATGGACTGCAACAGAAACTTTGGCAACATTCCAGACACTTCCCTGGTGCTCCTTTCCTTCCTTAAGCAAAAAGGCTGCCAGAATAGCGAGCTTAAAAGAGAGCTTGATGATCTTGATGAACAGCTAAAGCTGCCTACAAATCACAATTATATTGAGAGTGATGGGGAATTACAAACCGATGGACATGTCTCATTCAGCTACAGAGAAATTTTACATGAACTTCAGCATCAAGTTCAGCCTCAAGTACCAGGTATATTAGACACTGATAAAAATTTCTGACAATTTTGCATGCCTAATTATTAGTTATATTAAAAGTACTATATTTTTGCCATTGTCTGTGTCTGTTAACGCTGCTAATGCATCTTTCCATCTCAGTCAATGCTGAAGAGGCTCAGGCAGCAAGGGAAATGGCTGCAGAGTTGATCAGAATTGCAGACCTGCTTGAGCACAGAGTCCTGTCCCAAGCTGCTGACAGTTTGACCAAGAAACTATGCAGATCTCAGGAGCAGGTGAGACAAATTACTGTATTGCAAACTAATCTTAGCAGTTTACATTTCTAATAAATTTACACTAATTGTTGCTCCTTAAACCTGGAAAAACCATTTCTCAATATTCCTTAAACATTTGCAGTTTTGGGCCAGCCATCTGTCTGATGGAGTGAAAGCCTTACTTCTCCAGGTGGCAGGTGCCAAGGAGTTTAAGAAGGAACTTGTGGAGATGGCCTTCACTTTTGTGCTTATGAAGAGTGTTTGTGAACATGCACCTAAATTTTTGTTTCGTCTTTATGGCACAGTCGTGCAGTATTTCTTACCACACAGATCCCACTGATGAGCTCTGTGTTCCAGTTATACGTTTATAAAGTATAGAGTGTGAATATATGTGTATAAATAACTGATAGATTTGATACATTACTTTGCCTGTAAAGACAAATGCATATCCTTCATTTAAAGTGATTGTCGAGACTGAAACCTTAGCAATACCTTATGGAGTATATATTTTTTCTTTATTCCCTTGTAATACGGTCTGAAACAAGTGATGTACGTTTTGTTGTTGTTGTTTTGGCATTGTAGCCATATTAAGTTTTATGGTCTTGTTAGGCATTTCTTTAACTGCCATGGAAAAATAATACCCCGATTAAACAGGAAACTGTACATTAAATCAAATTTAAGGAAAAAAATGTATTCTCTTTTCCGATAACTTTGTTTTGATTTCCTTCAAAAAAGCATGGTCTATAAGGGATATCACATGATCAACCGTCCCTTTTATGTACAACAACGCTGACTCATATCAATACAAAATGGAGGAAGTTCTTAAGAGTTTGCATGATTTTTTTTTTTTTTTTAATTTAAGCAGTTATGATGATAAAATTCATGCTTAAATCAGGACACAAACCACCAGCTTTACCCTTGATGGACTACGATTTTATTTCACAGCTTTTGTCCATCTGACACGCACACAAAAAACCGCACTTTCTCTGACGTGAGGTTGCCAACAACTGACAAAACAGGTGGATCCTGCCTGTACATATGACTTCTGCTTGTTTTCAGTTGTTTTGACCAAGGTCTCTTTTGGATAGGCACACAACAGGGAAAAGAGGGTGACAAGGCTGTGCCGTGCAGGCCTTTTTACCTTTCAAGGACAAACAACAGCACAAGGTACAGGCAAGGTGTAAATCAAAGGCAGAAGACAGAAAATACTTTATATGAGAAGACAAAGAAAAACAATAAAGGGCCGAGGACTGGCCCAGAAGACATTTAAGAGACTTTCTGGTCCCACAAACCTGAAGTCAGCATTTGATTTGAGCGACAGACAGTTAATGTTACCTAACACAGCAAATCACTTTTTACTCTAGAATTACAAAATCCATTTGGATGTTTCTGAATCATGGTGGTTTAAGATTAAACCACAAGTTTAATGTTTCACCATATTCTCATTTCAATATTTCACAAGATTTTATTGAAATTGCTTTTGACCCAGAATTAGGAACATTTAATTACAAAATACACGCTTAGAAACATCATATTAGAAAACTAAATGACTTTTCATCTAGCATTATCTCCCGCTTCCTGACGTTGAGATAAATTCAGTCAACTGTGCCCTGTCACCATGGCAATATTGACTGTGCTGGTGTAGTATTTTCACGAGTGCTAAACAAACATGTTTTTGTACCTTAAACATTCACATTATAGCGAATTGCTGTACATTAAGAAATTACAATCCCTTAAACAAAATGTATCAGCCAAAGTGGAGGGGTTTCCCATTTGAGGCTGTGACCTAGGCTTCTACTTTTTAAATTCACCCAAAAGCATTCATGCAAGCCTAATCAGGTCTAATTTATTCAAAATATACATTAAAGGTGGTTAATATGAATGTCTAAATGAATCAAGGATGCGTGGAGACTTTGCTTTTGGTTGTTGCGAGTAATTTTGTATAAGTACTGATATATTTTGGGAGAATATCAGTCACACAATCCATCGGAAGAGCACAGCCCATAAAGTTTTGCACTTTTAATATTTCATTTCTGATAAGGTAAAATCATAATCATGCACTCACACAAGCTTGTGTTTTAAAATCAAACTATTTCATTAAATCAAATACTTATATATGAGAATAAACATGCTTCACTAACAAAAATTAACTTACTTCCTCTGAATCAGAAGCCTTAAGGTTCCTTTTGGAACTAGGAACCTTGGTCACAGCCTAGTGAACAGATCACTACTATGTTCACTAAAGGCCAATTCACACCGCACAGACAAACACCAACAAACAAGTTGGCCGTTGGATTTAGAATTTTATGAAAAATAACTCCGACAAACACTGATTGAACATGTTTACTCGGGTGAAAACAAACCCCGACCAACACCGACAGGGGTAACACACACTGATCACACAAAACCCAACAAACATGTACAAACAAGTTTGTAGGCATTTGTCTGTGCAGTGTGAATTGGCCTTAATACAGCACAAAAGAAACCCGACTTTGCACCTGCAAGTTCCTCTCCAGTCATAAAGCTGGTTTAAAGAACTAAGCCAACAAATAAAAGCAATGAGAATAAAATAAAATGGTATGGCACATAAGAGGAGTACTTTTCCCATAAAGTACTGCTTGTGGCAGCACTGTGACCCACAGGGCTTCCATTAGGGCAAGAGATACAGTGAGGTCATGGACAGTCACAGACGCTCTACTTCTTCCTGTAGGCCAGCGCTCCAAAAGCCAATACTGCAGCGATGGCCACCAGGGCAGCACCACCGTATAGCAGCACGGGGAGGTCAGAGGTCTCAGGCTGTGGCACTGACTTTGTCTGCACCTCAGGAGGGGTCGGAACAGGGAGGTTGTGGGCCGGGGAGAAGGCCTTCAGATCAACCTCTGGAAGTATCTCCTGCTCCAGGGTTGCTTGGACCACTTCCGGCTCTAGATCAGGTGGGGGTGATGATTGTGGCTCCACAGGAGCTGGAACAGGCTGAGCTTGAAGCTCAGGCTCAGGCACGGGGAACAAGGCGGTAGCAGCAGCAGGGGAGGCTGGGTGCTCTAGCTCTACTAAGGCTGGAGGTGGAGGGATCTCCATCACGGTTTGTTCCACAATCGGCTCAGGTGCACTCTGCACCGACTCTGCGGTTGGTGCTTCTTCTCGGACAGCAGCGAGTTCACTCTCACTGCCCAGCACGCTAAGTACGCTACTCTGCAGCTCCCCTTCCTCCACCGTCTCCCCACCTTCTTCAAGCAGTTCGGCATCTTCACGCTCCACATGGACAATGTCAGAGTTCGAGGAGTTGTTCTCGCTTTGCTCCTCAACTAACGCCACTCCCTCTGCGCTGTCCAGACTCTTGGCATCTTCTGGGTCCATCATGCCAACCTGCGCCCAAGACTCGTGGCCTGTCAGAGACACAGGAAGACTCTCTGTCTGCCAGGAAGCTGGCCCACTGCTATCTCCAAGAGTCAGTAGTGAAGCAGGAGGGCTTAGCTGATCCGAGGTCTGTTCACCTGACAGGATGTAGATGTCGTTACTGTCCTCGGCTATGATCACGCCAGGGTCCTCAGCTTCATCCAGGCTGAACACAGTGCCCTGTAATGTAAATTCATATGCAAAATTATTCATTTTATTTTTTTTATTTTCAAAAACGTGCACTAGCATTCAAAGGATTGGGGTCAGTAAGATTTTTTTGAATAAATTAACACTTATTTAATAAGGGTGCAATAAATTGATCAAAAGTAACAGAGTAAGGTCATTTATAATGTCACAAAAGGTTTCTATTTCAAATAAATGCTTTTAAAATTATTTTTATTTATTTATATTCATCAAAGAATCCTGGAAAAAAATGCATCACGGTTTCTAAAAACATATTAAGCACCACAACTGTTTTCAACATTGATAATAATAGTAAATGTGTCTTGAGTACCAAATCAACATATTAGAATAATTTCTGAAGTATCATGAAGTAATAGGAAAATTTATATTTGCCACCACAGGAATAAATCACACTTTCATATATATTAAAATTTAAATTATTTTAAATTGTAACAATATTTAACAATACTACTATTTTTATTGTATTTAATCAAATAAATGCAGCTTTGATGAGTGTAAGTTTTAATCTAAATATTTTTTTTAAAATCTTACCACCCCAAACTTTGAATGGTATTGTAGCTTGTTAAAATAAAACGTATTTATTAAACACACACACACACACCAACTTTCAAACAGAATCATTGGAGTATGTCTTTTTTAGTACTTGAATTTACCATGACAGGCATCATTTGTCACTGAATTTCTTATGCCACCCAGTGGAGTGTGAGAGTAATACAGCTCTAATAATAAATTCTCTCTACTTCATGGTTGACTAAACAAAATCAACTTTAAAATGCAAAGCTGCAGTGATGGACACTTATTAACTGAATAATATTTGAGTGTATTTGGCTGATAAAAGCTTTTAGTCAGTTCTCCTAGTTCTTGCGCAAAAACTGTAAAAAAAAAAAAAAAGAGTACATAAACAGATACAGCAAATCAAGTTAAAAACAGTGTTGATTGGTTCTTATTATCTAAAATAACTTGAATGAAGCATCTTCTTTAAAAACACACAAAGACAGACCTGAGGGAAACGTTCACAATAAGGAAAGACCTCAGCAGGAAGTGTGTTAATCCACTCTCCACCTCTATTCACTGTACTGTTGGCCAGGGTCCCTCCTATCTAGTCATGTCTTTATCTTCCTCTGTCACCCACACAATGATATCACCATACAGCTGTGGTGTGCGCATATGCCACTGCGTTCTGCATGTCTACCACTACTAGGTCAAGCATGCAAAACGAGCCTATTTGAATTTGAACGCATTGTCTGTAAATCCGTCAGTTTCTGCTCATTTGCATAAAAAAAAATATATACTGCCCTTGCTCATCTTAAAAGACACCATTCTGCTCACTGTGCCTTTTCTGGTCTTTTAGATTTCAGTAATCCACCAATGTGCACGTGCATCTAGTTTCAACATGTAATCCTGTCTCACATTAGACCCCAGCATCTGGATTAAAATCTGATGGCCAACAGAGAGAGGACCATAAGCACACAACCAGTAGAATGTGACAGTGCCTTATACATATCATATATATATATATATATATATAGATAGATAGATAGATAGATAACCATCACATGTAACCTAAAAAATAACTAAATAGTCATATGGCTTTAGAGTTTCAAAGAAACCAGTGGACCATATGCACTTCAACATTCATATATTAAGACAGAAATTCATTTATTTATTTAAATCTGCATGGCAAACACAACAAACAAACAACAGGTTATGTTAGTAAAGTCAAAAGTTTGGGGTTGAGATTCTACTTTGAAAGGTCTGTTATGGAGGCTTTCATCAAGGCTGCATTTATTAATGTTTAGAAACATTTCTTATTATCAAGGTGGAAATCAGTTCTACCAAATATTTTTGTGGAAACAATACATTTATCAGGATTCTTTAATGAATAGAAAGTTCAAAAGAACAGCATTTATTTGAAATTGTATATCTTTACTGTCATTTTACTGTCATAGATTTAATGCAAATAAAAGCATTAATTAAAAAAAATAATAATAGTACCAGCCCCAAAACTTCGAATGGTAGTGCATAATGAGCTATGTAGCACTGCACATATTATACTTGACTTACAGGTGATAATTTTTAATGAAAATGACACAAAATAATCTGTGGCCAGTAAAGACACCTACTTAAATGCATGTGAAACCATCACAGAAAACTAGATTGGGATGGATTTGAGAATGTTGACTTATTTTTAAGCCGATTAAATAAACCCAAGAAAAAAAGTAACAAAAACCCTATTTACATAGTCTAAAATTGACAATACCTTTTTGAACGGTGGAGTAAGATGGATGTTTCCTGCAAGATTAGGCTTGCTTTCCTATCCAGAGACTGTCTAAAAATGAAGTTATGCTGTAAGGCGTGTTCTCTTAGGTGAGCCTTGTGTGCCTATACACCACTCCACCCTAAGTACATGTACCCACCCTCACCTAAAGACAAAAACTCACCCATATCTGCCAAACTCAAATGCTTTCGCATTCACACAAGAGTGCAATATTGAAGACAGGGTGGTGTACAGAGGATACAACCGGTCTAGTGATAACCATTTAATAATACTGAGCTACTAATAAGTATGAGAACTAATGTGTATACTAAACATACACCAGTATAGTTCAATAGAGTGGGTCTCTAATGCTTACAGAAACTGCATTTTTTTGATCAAAAATACAGTAAAACAGTAATATTAAAAAACAATTTTACAACTTAAAATAACTATTCTAATATATTTCAAGAACAGCATTTATTTGAAATAGAAATCTTGTGTAAATCCATCATAAATGTCTTTACTGTCACTTTTGAACAATTAAATGCATCCTTGCAAAATAAAAGTATTAATTTAATTTTTTTTTTTTTAAATCTTCCTGATCCCAAACTTTTGAACAGTAGTGTCCATAAATGTGAATGCTCATACATTCTGAATCACAATCACTGTAGACACTAGACATCTTTTCGACAGTATATACTACTTCTGACACACTTGTAAGGCAGTTTCTATTGTTAAGGCATCCACACCAAAGATAAACGTATCTTGTCTGTTGAGGGTGCACCACACATGTGGATTTCCACATACTGTACCATTTGACTGTGAATGCTGAACTGTGTCTGCTGATAAGAAGACCAGTTTACCCACTGCATCATGCAACCTACTGGAGGAAACTCACCGCTTAAGCCTGCTCATTCATTAATAAACAGAGCATTAGCCTTTCACACAGACTTGACTCTTAATGGGTTAACATCGCCCCTTTAAAACTAAACATATACTAAATGTACGCAAGCAAATACTTAATATTGTTAAACTGAATCCAAACCAAATTTGGATACTAGCTGAAAGATTCCTCTGAATCTCCTATAAGATGTCATGCATACAGGTCACCATCTCAACTAGCCCTGTGAATAGTTTGGAGGCAGTCAAACTGGGACAGCCTTGCTCCAGCTGAATCATAGGAGGATTTATCAGATTTATTTCTGTTCTTCATCTCTGGAGTGTGTGGGGGTGGCGTAAGGCCTCTGTTTGTGTGATGAGAGCAGCACATCGCCTGTAAAATGTAGTTACGTAAGAGGCCGGGCCGAGCGATCTGATGTGACTTGAGCACCGCTCTCAGCACCTACTGATATACAGACAGGGGCACACTGCTTTGGTCCGGTTTGTCTGTACCAGCACAACAGGAGTCAAATTACATCACATCATACCATCTCAAGAATCGTTGCTGTGCCATGTGACACAGACACCCTGAAGGTCAACTCTGTTGCGTACAGAGGGACAAGAACGGGACAAAGGGGTGGAGTAACTCACAAGACAAAATGTCCCTCACGTCCCACACACCGGGTATCTGTTACCCCTTTGGTGGTGCATTGAACGCTTTCCCTTGAGCTACAGGAGTTATCATGATCAGAGCAGACAGCGTGATTCAGCGGGAACATGTCATTGACTTGTGCTGTATTTTAGTTTTCAAAATGGCTTCTCACTGCTTTGGCCTGGGTTTTGCAGAATAGACACACACAAAGATCCCTTTTCATTCATGTCACTGACTTTGGGTCTCATTCATGAATTGCGTATTAAAACCATTTATACATGAATTGACACTATATTAATGCAGCAATTTAGAATGTTTTAGAAAACAATTTACTCAGAAATTCATTCTCATGTTCTACTTACAAGGCTTATTTTATTGTTTTGTAATACTATAACAATTATTGTACTTCTTCAAGGGTGCAAAAAAAACAGTGACTGCCCAAAACACAATTATATTCATCTAAAAGCAGTACTGAGCAAACAAAGTCACTCCAACTGCAGTCATTTCAACACTAAAACAGGTTAATCCTCAAATTAAATATTTACAGACTGGCCTATTTAATGGACATAACTAAATGGAGAATTAAACCTTGTGAGAGTGTTCTTGTGTTTGCTATTTTATTATCCATTTACAACTTTGTTGCCACGGCCATTACATAATGGAGAGCAAGAAAGCGGTCAAAAAAGACCTAAATTGATAACGTTTATATTTTTGTGCAAATGGACCAGAAGAGAACATCTAGAAGAAAGCAGCTGTCCTACCTGCCTGTGTTCGGCGCAAAACTCCAGCAGTGACCACAAGGAAATAAAGTGAATGAGAGAGAGAAAGTATAGGCAGGATAAAGGTTGCTGTCAGAGTAATGGGGCTGGAACTGCTGAGCAGGAGGTCTGGTTTGTTTGCACACGGTCTCCTCCTCGTCAGACTCCTCCCAGCTGCATTCAAACTCTCACAGATGCTCATCCCGTATCATCTACGCCAAAGCTCTCGCTCCATCACTGGAATGTGGTCCTGTACTGAGCGGCAGTATAAAACAATGGTCTCCCCTCCTCCCTGTGTCAGTGTCAACGGCACTCTAATTAAATTAATCCTTCTGACTGAGTTCTTCAGCTTGCACAACACAGAATGCATGAACTGAGTCTTTCATACGGACGGCCCTCATCTGAGATACAGTGTGACCTAAATAGGATGTTATAAACAAACAAGAACTACATCATGCTTTACGACATCATCTGACAGACGTGAAGAGTTGTTCTCATAAAACATTTGCATGAGGGTATGATAGCCTTCCGAAATTATCAATCTTGAGTTTGAACTATCAAATTACATACAATTACATTTTGATAAGATGAATGGGAATGAGTGTGCGCATTATGCAAAACATTAAGTTAAAGAGTAATTTTTTATTATGATCTTTAATGTGAAGTTGCAAAGAGTTGTACCATAAACAAATATGCTCATGATCACCACAGTTTGACAGAAGCACCCTAAAGTTATCACTGTCCATAAAGGTGAGAGGAAGGTGAAATTGTTGATGAAACACTAAACAAAGTTATCTCAGCCATCACATAGCCACGTAATGAGTTAAAAAAAAAAACACTGCTAAGGATTGTATGGATAACATAGTCCTTCACACTTTGAGCAAAAAATGTAAACAAAGTATCATTTGTCAACATACAATGTGTTGGTGAAGTTATTCTAGCATTATCCAGCAGCAGCTGAATTAGGTAATATGTTAAAAACATGAGCACAGCTCTGGCTCCCTCTCCTGACAGGAGTCTTGAAAAACACAGTGAATGACCATTCCTCCCCAGTTTTGTATTTTTAACTGACCTTCACCTCTTTAGGGCAGTGGTTCTCAACCAGGGGGCCTCAGCCAACCCCCAAGATTAATTATTATAATTAATATATTATCATCAATAAAATTAATATTAATGATAAATTAAAATAATTTAACTTTAAATGCTAAAAATGCAAGAAATCAAGAAATTATTTTTTTCCCCTCTCAATAACTAGAGTTTCAGTTTATAAAAAGAGATTAAAAACACTGGGGAAAATATCTTATCTACAGATAGTGTGTTGGACAATGGGGACCTTTTAGTTAAAAAGGTCAAGAACCACTGCTTTAGGGACACCCAGTTAGACACTTATACTGTCATTTGTTTCATAAGTTGCTAATAGGTTGCACAGACATTAATTTATCATTGAGTGCTGTGCATTTGTTTTGTGAACTCACATAATGCACAACTACACCAGAAAAAGAGACATAGAAATGTGCATTACTGATAGAAAAAAAGTTTGAAATGGAAAAAAACTGGCTATACCATCCAGGTCGAACTACAGACAGTACATCACCCATCAATTATAAGTCACTCACCCATCCTCCCTGCTGAATGATGAAGTCTGATTGCGATTCCTCAAGGTAACGCAAACCATGGTGTAGCAGTGCTGCCAGTGGCTGCCCCTCATTCTGTAGGGCTTGTAACAATACTAAGGGTACCAACACCTAAACAGTGTAACACAGAATAAGAAAATGAAGGACAGACACATTCACGATTCAGTGAAAACATCCCAATGGCCTTTAGGGTGCTTTGAGTGTTTTGGATTACCTTGCTCCATCCTCCTTGAGCATGAGAGGACACCTCCTCCACCGCTGCTCTGAAGTGCTCAAAGTCCAAATCACTGCACGAGAGGCACATACATAATGAACATTTCTCTGCATTAATCTGAATTAGCTTGTTCTTCAGAAAAAACATCAGCATAACATATGTTGAAAGCTTTCGTCAATATTTAAGTTCAATGTCAAGAATAGACATTTGAACTAATTTAAAGCCAACTTATAATAACTGTGTGTGCAGGCTGTTTACACAATGCATTTTTCTGGCATAGACCTCTGCCAAGTACGTTGCTAGATCTTTTTTCCAACTACTAAAATTATCCAGGAATTTTCCCTGGACGTTTAAAAGGACCTGCTCAGAAGCGTGTGAGTGGCGGAGGACAGGTGTGTGTCCAGGTCCCGTGAAACACGGTCCCCCAGCACTGCCAGGCTGTCTTCTATGGAGCTTTCTGGATTGGCTGGACTGAACACTGGGGATATGAGCTGATCAAAACCAGTCCTGGAAAAAGCTGAGCAGAAAAAGAGGCAGATGACTTTAAACTATGATCCAGATACATTTTATCATGAAATTACAGTGTAATAACAAAAAATATCTTACAGGCCGCAATTTCCTCTTCCAGCTGCTTCATTTCATTCTCAATCGGTTTCTTCAGGCTGCTATTCCGCTCTCTTTCCACTTCCTGTGTAGAATGGCTCTCTCCTGCACAGAATCATAAAATATCTATTAATCACAAAAAAAGGTTTTTGTTTTTTTTTGCCTGCAGACCTTACCGATATATAACTGTTATAAATAATTATAATGTCTCGTATTTTGATGTTATCATTTACCTGGTTAAGTATGACCAAAATGCTTTTTACTAGGGCTGTGCGATATTGAAGAAAAATGCGATATGTGATAACTCATTAAATAATGCGATATTCGATATGCGATACGATAATGCTTAAAGTGCCACATGCTCAGTTGAAACAGTTTTACTCAGCTGTTGCCGAGTCAGTTCTGTGAACTTCTATAACTATCTTGTGTCATATATATATGGTTATTTGTATGTATGCATGTACCAAGAGTTCCTGTTTGCTCACACTTAAGTGGTGAATAAAGCTCATTCTGATTCTGATTCTAATAAGAAAGCACCCCTACAACAACTTCTGAAAGTGAACAGTGTTTTACTCGAGCATTACATAAAAATGTCATTTTAACATTAGTGTAATCATTTTAACATGAGTTTAGGAACTGAATAATAAAAAGGGAAAATAAAACACTGCTTAGTATTTACTCTTTGAATTCAATATGCACTGATTCTTATTTAAGCTACAAAAGTTATTTCGGTAAGAGCAGGGAGTGATTTTCTCTTTGTCTTTTGTTCATGGCCCCAAATATTGCAAGCTGTAGCGATATGCATATTGCGATATGTACATTTGCGATATTTCGATAATTTCGATATATTACACAGCCCTACTTTTTACCTATTTATTTCTTTATTTTATTTTTTAAGGAAAAAAAGAGTTAAGTTGTAAATCTATATAGACAAGATAATATGCAAGATACAATGACAGATGGAATCTGAGGCTCTTTTGGAGCAAAAATATTTTTTGCTACATTACTACATTTAAAGTAGTAACCTTGATTTTTTTTTTTTTTTATTCAAACGTGTAAGCATTATTACAATTTAATCAGTTCCTTAAATATTTTGCTAATCTCAAGTCCTGAATTTTTGAAGCAATCTTGATTATTTGAATTTGATGCAAATATATTAAGCCAAAACTAGTCAGAAAACTCCAGCTATTAAAATCCTCAGCTGAATAATTTTCTACATGACTGATGAACCTAAAAAAGGTGAAGTGGAAAAGAAACTAAAGGTGAAACTGACTGGAGTGTAACACAGATGCACTCATTTTATCCAAACATTAATTGACTTTAATAAACCTTAAACAATCTAATAGATGCATTTATTATCAAACTCACCACTTTTGAACAAAGTCACAATATATCATGTGCTCCAGATAATATATGTAAATAGCAAAAAGAAAATTAAGACCAGGTACTTTTAAATTAATTTAGATTATTCCACATTAACTGTATTATATTCCAAATACATTATTAGAAACAATACTAAAACATAGTGGCTATAATACAACTGGCATTTCTGTGGTGCCTTAACCCATTGCGTGGCTATTCATTCATACACTGGTGAATTATTTAGTGTTTGTGCAGGCTTTTAGCTCTCTCAACTACACAGACCCAGTGAATGACTACAGGAAAATGGAAAGAAACTGATTTAGAGAGAGTGTGTATAAAATGACTATGAAGCAGACAATAAAGCCTTTTACAACATTAACAAATGTTTATGGGAGATCACATTGACTTTCACAGGCCGGGCCGGTCTTTGGTCAGTTTTGTTCAGGCTAAGCTTTACTCTGAACAGTGGCATGTGAACAAGCCAACGCTGATCGCACATGACAGTCTGTCAGAGTGCAGAGTGGGTCGAGTGGAAAGAGGGATCAGAAGCTACTTTCAAAGCTGACTGAATGAAAACCAGAGCAGGACATAGGACATTCCTCATTGAACCGCTGATATGCCCAAGGCTCCAATATCTCCAACAGGCAGCTTAAGCCCATACCATCCTCTGTGTTGAAGTCAACCAGACTAACTCTCAATGACAAACTTTGCATTCGCTTCTGAACTCCACAAGGACTAAATAAAAGAACGTAAAAGTCAATATTCATGAGAATCCGCCTTACAATGTCTCCTCTAAACAAACTGCCATGGACTCGGCAATTGGTCAAACGACATCTAAATGATTGGTCAAAAGACATCTAAATGATACCAACAGGACCAAATTGGCCAACCGTATATGGACTGCGACATAAGTATAGACAACACATGCACTCTGAAGGATTTGTTAATGCATTACTTGCAATACCTACAGTCATTTTTCAATCAAATTACACTAGTTACGACACTCTGTATATAGCACTTTGAGTTATAGTCCATGTTCAAGGGCAAAATGGAGATTCCTGGAGCAGGAATGTGACCTCAGCAACTGTGGACAAACACTTCTAGAACTGTAATGGTGCTGTTAGCAACCCAGATTCTCAGCAAAACAGCTCTATGGACAGTATAAGAGGTGCTAGAGCAAGAGGAGAGAACTATTGCTGTAGTGACTGTTTTTATTAGTTTTTTTCTCACACCATCTACACTGCTTTCTCTTGCTGATACAGACATGTACATTTATGTTTATAAAATCTACCCCATTAGATGCATATTGAATGTATTTTACACAGCGAAAACACAAGCTGACAATCTAGACAGCACAGTTAATGTATACAATAGTGTGGGTAATGTTTATATGGTTGACAACAAACAGGACTCTATTTTATTCAAATGATTAATGATTAAATATCTTCAATTCATTTTGGTTTTAATAAGATTTCCCTAAGAAATAGACAAGAATGAACCTGGTGTCCTCAGTGATTCCTATTATTTCTGACAACATAGCACTTGAACGCAACAAAATAATAATTATGATTCTAGAATTGGAAAGTAAGAAATTCCAAATAGCATGTAAAGGCATCATTTGTTCACTGTGGTATGTACATGACTTTTGTGATAATGCATCTCAATGTATGGGATGATATTAGACTCAAAATGATTAATAGATGCACGCACAATTATCCATGTACTGCATACATTTTATACATGTATCTTACTAACCACAAACAAATGCCTTTCAATTTGAGTCTGTGGAATTCGGGATTAAATGATTGTGCAGCGATTTGTACAAATACAGACATGTTTGTGAATAAAAATGTTCTGTTCTGCATTAATATATCATAAATTGCTCATGCAAAAAGGAATCCGTGCATATGTGGATCAGGTGACACGCATGAATTAATCGACGTCTAGTTCGAGTCGATCTTGTTCGGTTCATTTGGATTTTGAGACTTCATTTTCGCTGTTTACAGCATTTCAAGTCCCACACACACACAACTACCAACGAACAAGGCCCAGTGCAATTCATTAACGTGTACACGATTTGAAAAATTCGCAAATGTGCGTCACTACACTGAAACAAATGCTTTTCAACCGGTATCTGCAGAGTTAGGAATTGCATTAATGTGCAGCATTTTGTTCAAATAGAGACATATTTATGAATACAAATGTTTCAGTTTGTATTAAAGTATCATGATTTGTGCATGTAG